CGTGTACCAGATAGAAACCATATATCTTTCTCAACGGTTAAACTTTAATAACTGCATGCATCATCTTCCCAATATTGCATCATATCATATAATTTGTAATAGCTCCAGAAAATATACACGTTTACAAAGTCTTGTTCTTTTTATATCAATTTTTTAAACATTTTTTGTAGTGTGCTCTAAAACCAATAACCAGCTTCAAAAAATTACTGAGAGCTTTTATTGCTTCTTGGATGTACATGTAGGTTAGATAATTCAGCGTATTTGGATAACATTTCCAAAAGGATGCGCTCGTGGGGAGAACACTGATTTTTCAAAAGCAAATACAGCTGATTGAAATCTTATTTGGGTTGATTTTTTATCTCCCTCTTCCTTGTTTGGACTGCCACCCCTCTCTTTGAGGGAATAGTGTTGAATTCAAGACACCAATTTAGCAAATCTTTATTGGGTAAGTGGGATATTACAAGTTCAACTACAGGTTTCTGGCGATCGAGGTCGAACAAGAAATGTTCTGTCTATTGAAAGGAAATACCTCTTATTGGGTAATTTTGCTCAGGAAATTAGATATAATTCAGGCTTTGTCAAGTTACACACATCTAAAATTTGCTGGAGATCAGAAATAACAATTTTCATTACTCGGATTTCATGTGTTTGCAAGCGATTTAGTGTCAAGTTTGAGAGTGTCTTGTTTCAGGAATTGGCAAATAAAGCCCTCACTGCAAATTATATCATTAATATTTGGCTTTAAAAAAAAAAAAGCAGGTCTCGGGTATCTGGGGGCTAAATTTACCCATCCACACGTAAAGGATTGAATATCAATATTTAGAAAATAAATGTAATTTGTAGGGACACTAACATCCTACTATGACCTTTTATCCCTATAAATCGTGACTTAATTTATCCCAGTGTTTTTTCCGTATTTGATAAGGTATTTCTTTTGTGAAACATTTTCCTTGTATTTTGAATATAAAATCCCTTGTTTCTAACCTAGAAATTATGCTCATTTACTTGAAGAAGGATGTAGAAGGTGAGAAAATATCAAATTTGAACTAAATTCATATGGATTTAGAATGGCAACAGTTTCTTTGTAAATGAAATATGATTTTTTTTCTTCAGCATAGTCCATTTATAAATAAAACTGCTGAATATGTTAGTACTTCTGAATTAGTGAAAATGATGATAATCCTTGAAGAAGACTAGAGGATTACATGGGATCACATTAAAGCAAGGTCAATATGTGTATGTGAACTAAATCGTGATATTGCATATGAATTCAATTCCATTTTTAAACATTATATTCCCATAATCTTATCAACAGGTGTAAAACCTCAAGTTGAGATGAAAATATTAAATTCTGCATTACAGTACACATTAGCAGAAATTGAGCATTCTTTAAGGCATTTAACTTAAAGGGACTATGTCCCATTTGCAGGCCAAAAAAATGAAAAAGTTAAATTCCAACTGCATTTGAAAGATGATACTAATTTAGAACTTCCCTAAAAAAGGTGGGGCTTAAAAATGTCTTCAAGTGGGAAAATAATGACTACTGTTGTCAAATCGACTTTAGGGCTATAGAGCCCAAAAGTAATAGTCTTGATTTTCAGACAATTGTACTGAATGGTCATACGTTTTATGCTGCGCAAAGATTCAATCAGTTTAATCTTGGCCATCACAAGAAGTGGGTTATTGATGTAGACAAATACTCATGTACCCTTTACAACTCTTTTCATGTATGTTATTACCAAAGAAGAAAAAAAGCCAGTCAGTCACTCAATAGTGTCTGACAGTGAAGTCTAGCAAGTAAACGGTTTTCCTTGCATAATTTGAATATGAGGACACTGCTAACGTTTAAATTTCATAGATAGGACATACATGACATATTCATAATTCCTGCAAAGTTCTACAGAATTTGAGGTTGGCTGCAAAAGGGACATAGTACCTTTAAGTAGTACATGATTTGAATTACAGTTGCTTTATACTTGTTTCCCAATTTCAATCTCTTTGTTTTGCATAATTTACTCATTAATTACCATGACATTTGGCTGAGATAAAACAAATCTTTGTGGGGAACAACTTTCATTCCTCTGTGATTGTAATCACCATTAGGTAGTTTTCTTTGTTTGTTTTTTCTCTTCAATATTCTGGACATATACCACACAAGATAAATACCTTCTTATACTTGTGATATCATACTCTAATTTTCTTAGGATGTGACTACATACAGTACCAAAAAACAAATGAATTGAAAACACCCCTTTCTGAATTGATTAAATACCTGTCGTCGGGATTATATCCAAGATTGATTGCCTTCGGGAAGTGGTCACTTGGAAATATTAAAGAATTGATCTAATCATTGAGTAACCTTTTGGATGAGTAAGTTGTCTTGGTCAGTCATTTGATTGACAATGGGCAGTACCTTTTACTTCAGAAAAATTATCAAATGGCCTTTCAAATTTTTGTGTGGAGATTATAATCAGTCTGGAAAGTGCTTTTTACAATTAATGAAACCATGATTCTGCACTTTTTTCAATAGAGCTGAATTGAAGTACCTTCTTGCTGGGGTTTGAATCCTTATATCATACATATTTGTTACTACTCGTATGAAATTACATGTACCATTGAAAGAATCGTAAAAAATTACTTGATAGGGACGTAAAGTTTTGAAATTCAATGCAATTGAGTCTTAATTTCAAGAACTAAATTGTTAATAGCCCTGCATATCTGAACACTTTACTACCGGTAAATGTAAAAATGAGAATCATCAAAATGACATAAATAGAGATCATTGACATGATGATTTGATCATTTGAGCAATATTAAGTGGGATAAAAAGTTATCTGAGGTAAATATTGAGATTGAACAAAAATCCTTTGCGATAGAGAGAATTGAGTGAGTTGGCTAGAATGAGATGCTAAACATATAGAGCGAGGAAAAAGAAGATTATTATCAAATCTCCTCCTATTTATCACGAAAATAATGAAAACATATCCTAATCGGTGTGGAATTTTCTCATTTGTTTGCATGAACCAGTTTCACCCTTCCTGTCGTTCTCTCTTGCTCAAGGAAAAAAAAGGAAAACTTCTCGTTGTCGCCAAGATTGATACCCCAAGATTATCCCCAAATGCATAGTATTCTCATTAAGGGGTGTCAATACAACATCCCCCTTCTTCACTTTCTGACCCACTTAATGCATGGCCACGCCCTAGATGACCCCCAGTGTTTTGAGCACCCCGTTATGATCACCATCCCGCCGCGCACCCCGATTAGATGATAGATTGTGGACTTGTTCTAATTCTCGATGATTAGTATCCTCCTAATGGTTGCTCGTAGTTGGAGGAAATTGGTGAGAACAACAAAACACACCATATCATGTATGGGATGTACCCATTAATTACTACTTTACAAGTCAATTACAACTTTACAAGTCAATTACAACTTTACAAGTCAATTACAGTGCGAGCATCGGTTTATTCATCCCAAGAGGACGGGGGAAGGAATGATAATATAAAGCAAACTTCATTAAAAATGATACATGTACTTTACATTGTTTTGTAAATAAAAGTGGTTCTTGATTCTAGAATATTCATTTTCATTCGTCGATGGTAAATTTATAAAACATTGATGATAATTTTCACTAGTTCTTTAACATGGATAAGTTTACAAACAGTATCTTCCAAATATTTTCGAAAGAAAATGTGTAATTGCAGAGTATGAAGCAATGTAAACAAGATATTCCATAAAAGTCGTGGACTACATGTAGGTACATGTACATGTATTGTTGTCTATTCACATGTTGTCTGCAATATGTTACTCTATAATGTAAATATCAGAGTAGGCAAAGTTAAGTGTATGCACTTTTTAAATAATAATCAAATGATAACAAGTCACAATTGTTTGGATAGGTTTTCTCAAAATGACGCTTTTCATCACGTATTCATAATTGCCTTTAACAAACATGATTATGACTTCATAGATGCCATATAGCCTGGAGCGATCTTCAAGTACACTTGAGTGCAACAACTGTACTAAAAGTTCAACAATCATCTGCAATGATAGTGCCACTGAACATTTCGCTCTGTAGAGTGGCTCTGTAGAGAGGCGCGGTAGCATTCCGAAGAACATCTTTCCTCTCAGGGGTGTTTGAATCCCTATGACTCAGCTTAGTGCTGTGGGGTAAGGACAGTGTAACCAAGCGCCCTAGTCCTACAGCTAGATTCTAGGAGCTATGGATGCACTGAGATGTTACTCAAGGGTAATGGGTTATTTTTCATGACTGCGGTTAACTAGTACAGGACATTGATTCATGCAGGAGTTTGTATTAGATCAGTCAACATAATTGTGAACTCTGTATACGTTGCCCCGGGTGATGAAATATACGCATGTGTATCAGGCTAGGAATAACTTTTTTGTTTATGGGGGCTAGCTTTCAAAAAACCAAGGGGCTACTTTAAGAAAAGTGGGGGCTACTTTTGAAAAATTTGGGGGTATAGGGCATAGGGCTCGGGCCGGGTGGTTATGGGTGCGCAGGCGATCAGAATCAGTAGCGACATATGGGGGTGACTTTTCAATAATGGTTTTCAGGATTTTAGGGGGCTATTTTGAGACTCACAGGGGCAAAATCGCCCATCGCTTTTCGACCTTGATGTTTATGGTCAGCACATTGCACATTTGAATGAAAGGATGATGTAATCCAAAAAAAGAAATACATGGAGCGTAGGTTTTTTATTTAACATAGCTCTGGAAAACTTGAAAATATAACAATCAAGAAGACCTCTGCAAAGAAATCCACTTTTAAACTATTCTGTAGCAAATCCAAAACAACCTCCATGACGTGAACCCCTCCCCCCCCCCCTTGCCCCTAAGAAAACACTTACATTTCCCCTCTAATGTTACCCCGGTTTCATTTAATCTTTTTACTAATGAAGTACGTTTGGAGTCATTTCCTTGAACTGTTAGGGAGCCAGGCAATAATCCTTTGACAAATCCTCTGTTTGGAAAATGAATAATTAGTAGGAAGGTGAACCATGGAGAGGATTCAAGGTCTTGACCGTACACAAAAGGAACCGACGTGAAACTCAGTTGGTGGGACGTGGGTGATTGTTTTCACGTACTTTCTGCAACACCTTTCTTAGGGGGAAGTGACAAATTTAAAGTCAAATTATCTGAGTTAGAGTCATTTGAGTACCCAGCACGACTCCATAATGTTGTTATAAGCCATCGATGATAGTCAGCTGTATAGCCTAGGAAGAACTCTGTATTGTATTGAAGGATATTTTAGTGACATTTTTAGGGTAGCCACTGAGTTTGTCCCAATGGAGATGCTTGAATTTGAGTTTGATTTTGATACTGAACCGGATCTGAATAGAAGGTAAATATTCATTTGATGCCACATGTATGGTACATGTATGTGTGCGTGAGGGATTCTTTAATTTATTATTTGTGGAACTACATATTGTACGTATGTATAAACCCTGCAGTATTTCAAGTTGTCCACATGCATTCATTGTCTGTGTGTGGATGGCTGTGTGGGGGTGGGGGGGGGGGGGAATCAAACATGAAGTAAAGTTATTGAAATATCTATTGATACGTTTATGGAATACTTTTTTATGTTTATTGATCTCTGTGTATGGGGGATATCAATATTTCATAGTCTGTTGGAAGACTCAAAACCCAGACTTGTTTCTACTGAAAATTAAGATTGATTTGTCATATTGGAGACTCCATTTGACAAAAGCATAAATTTACCACAATGACAAAACTTTACCAATCGCTACAGAAATAGGTGATTCAGTGAAAATTGCAATTATCCCTTGTCAGAATTTGTTGATAATCCTATCTTTTGCCTGGCCTCTGAATTATGCCATTTTTGTGCCATTTTTGTTCCACATTTCATTCAAATATTTCATTATTCTTATGCCTATGGGATATTGGTACTAGTACAGTATGTCTGTCTTGCATCACAAGCTTCAAATGTTTTATCCATGGCCCGAAATGTACAATGTACATGTGGAACGTGAATGGTGGGTAACTTTTCTTTTTCTAAGCTCATTGGTTAGAAACTAATTAGTTGAAATGTTAGCTGAGGACTTGGAAATAGACTAGAGTCAAAATAAAAAAATAGGCAAGTTGTGAAAATAATTTTATTGAAGAATTATGTCAGTGGTAGGGCTCATTAGAGTAACTTTTACATTTGAAAGCTTGTCTGTTCATAGACAACGCCCTTTTATTTTGTGGATTAAATCTGTTAGAGCAGCCCCCACCCCCCAAAAAAGTAACAAATCTAGCAGTGGGTGTGATGTACATGTACTTCGCAAAAACGTAAAAGTAATGAAAAGTGACGAATGGAACCAATAGCTTCAAATTTGTACAAATCCCTAAACCCTCCAAATGTTAAACCTGTCAATGACAACCACTAATACCATTTTAATATCAAATGATTACGATGGCTACTTAATAATAGGAAGCACTTGAAGAATACTTTCAGCAATGCTACAACAAGTCCCCTAATCCTGAAATGGTAAACCTGTCAATGGCAACTAGTAAAAACATTTTAACACCTAATTATTGTGATGCCCTCTTGAATGTGAATATTATTAAGAAACGGAAGCACTTGAAAAATACCATTTACAATGCTAAGACAACAAGTCCCCAAACCCTCAAATGTTAAACCTGTCAATGACAACTAATAAAAACATTTTAACATCCAATTATTGTGATGCCCTCTTGAATGTGAATGTTATTAAGAAACGGAAGTACTCGAGGAATACCGGTATCAATACTACCACTAAATTCAGTGCCAATACTTCTGCATCAATTACGAAATATAGCTCTCTCGATCTCGCGACTGGGGATCCTACGTGCCTCTATGCCTGCCCTCCCTGTTATATCTTTCTTTTGAAGGAGAGTAACGCCCCACCTATTAATGACCTGTAGAGATCAGGAAGTCCAATTATTCAAGTTGTCACACTCTGCACCTCGCTGTACGAGTCCGTATTCTACATGTTATACGTTTGATCGGAGTGGCTATATACGGCCGTCTTTCGGCTTATGACACATTTTGTTGTCGTCACTTGTTACCTCCTCCTTGTGTCGTGCCACAATTCATTTCTGTAAAAGCGGAGCAGGGTTTTACTGTGAGGATCAACGAGATTTTGTGGTTGATGGCCCATCTTGATAACAAATCTACTAGCCAGAAATAATTTACCCCTCTCAAATTTCATCAAGAATTATAAGTCATCATTAATACAAAATCATACTCAAAATAGGCTTTTAATGAAAGGTGATTCCTGCTTTAAGTTTAGACATATTTTATCAAGTTTGTTAAATATGTTCAGTGTTAACACATGTAGGTAATATGGTTATATAAATAAATTTTTTAACGAAGTAGGCCTAGTATTTAACATTTCAAGTGGAACAAAAGTGTTTGAATTATGCATAGATTTATCAAAAGTAAAAAAAAGTACAGAATTTGCATCGTTTAGTCTGTACTCGGTAATATTGATTTTCTTTAAAGTCATTAAAAGAAATTGACAGTTTTTCTGAATTTGCATGCACTTTTTCATGGTGTTCCTAAAATGCATAGAGGGCAATACTGAAAAAGAGTAACTGATTGCATGAAAACCGATAAATAACAGCTTTGTTTGGCAGCAGCTAGAACTTTACGTCCTTTAACTTTTTAGTAGACTATGTACTAATAAATTGACACAAGTCTAATGTAATGTAAAGAGTTTTGCTAAAGGAAGGATGTTGTAATAGATGTATTAGGGAGGCATAGAAGAAGTGAATACAACAATATCTAGAGAAGGAAAGATGTCTGTGAAAGACAAGAAGAAGATGTTGAACTTTAAAGATGTACATGTAGGAAGGGAAAAGAACATGGAAGAAATTAGCTTGATGATAGCACCGAAGAAAGAAAAGAATGGAAATGGGATAAAAAAAAGAGTGTTGTAACCTTCTCCAGAATGGAAGAAGTGAATACAACAATATCTAGAGAAGGAAAAAATGTCTGTGAAGACAGGGGAAAGAAGGAGATGTTGAACTTTAAAGATGTAGGAAGGGAAAAGGACATGGAAGGAATTAGCTTGATGATAGCACCACAGAAAGAAAAGAATGGAAATGGGATGAAAAAGAAGTGTTATACTTGTAACCTTCTCCACAATGGCTGAGACGTGGGAAGGAGATGGGAAAAGACAAGTGATCGGAACCAAGTGGAGCTGACGAGGGGAACAGGTGGAGGAGTGGACTGTCAAGGGTCATGATTGGTCGGCCCAGAGGAATACTTATCAGCTTCCGACTTTGAAACATCAATCTGGAGTTCCAAATCAAGCTCCTTAGTAGAGTAGAAATTCCTTTGGCCTGCTTATTAGTCAGAATCTGAAAAATAGCGAGAGAGATCGATCGAGTCCCAGCTTCCACTTCCTGTGGGTGAATCGCAGTCGTTAAAGTGAAATCCGATTTGGACCATCTCTGCTGATTGGATTTGGATGGGAGTTGTAGAATGGTAGGAATCATGAAAAGGATTTGTGGAAAGATGTCTTTGAAAGATATCATCAGTGGTAAATGGTGTTTCCAGCGGTGTATATTGAGTTAGACATGGAAGGATGAAGCAAGATAAACAAGGGAAGTTGACACACTAATTGTATGTCTAATGCAAGGATGCACAAGGAAAAGGGGTTTATAGGCTTTGTGTATACTGAATGATCATGGAAAATGTTAGCTTTTAGAAATCAAGATTAGAGCACAAAGTAAAGGAGTATTTTGAAAAAAACATTCAGTATTCATATTCTTAATAGAAGCATTTTTTGTTGTTGAACAATACATGTAGGTTAAACGAAACTATCTTTTAAAGTAATTATGCTGTCTGTATTTTCTCAATGGAATGAGTCAAAACCTGTTGTTATGTACAGCAAAGGCTTTCTTGATGGTTTTAGGTCTGAAATAGACCTGTAATATGACTCACTCTTTATTTGCTGGAGTATTGAATGACATTGAGCAAACCACCGTTTCCTCAAAAAGAGATACAACCCATTCCACTGTCCCCGTCTGAGCAAAACTAAATCAAGTGCCTCATCAAAGAATGCTCCCCTGGTAATACCTATTGGGTATATTGGGTAAATGTAGTATTTCCTGGCAGTCCTGTCCATGTCTATGATGATGATAATCCACAGCACTTGTATGGCGCCATTTATCTGGTCTATACATGTTGGTATTTAATGTACATGTAGTTGTAGGGAATGGAGAGCTTTGTAAGGCCACATTAGCCTTTGGTGTATACGCATCTACTATAGATTGAGTTATATTTTGAAAGTTATAAAAGTTGTAAGTCGATTGTGTCAATTGTTAAACATGTTCTTTTATCATTATAACTGTAACAGTCATGAAATGGCCAGAATTAATATCACTATAGTAGATATAAAAACTTTGAAGTCTAGATAACCTAATAAATTACTTTAAAGTCTAGATACCTTTTATGGAAAACCTTGGAACTGTTTAATTGAAATAAGCAATTCTGACTGGAAAATTATGCATACAAGGAGTATTCTGATGCACAACTAGCCTGAGAGCGATTCTACTATCTTGGTGAAACAATTCTTATTATAATGATTTTTTAGTTTTTTCATGACTGTTTTCCAGTTTACCTCTTCTTTCCCCCAGAGAACTACAACGTATGGATACAGCTCAAACCTTTTCTTTTCTCATTTCTGATTGATATTTTCCCATTCTTCAAAGATCATTATAACTTGGGTTATTTATGATGATAAATAATGTACCAATTAGACCAGGAATCTATGATTTAGCTTCTAAGTGAATCAAGACCCCATGGTTGGTCACACTCGACGCCTACGCTGACGGGAGCGTTTTGACTCAAATTTTGGCCTAATTTACAGCCCCTACGACCTTGAAGCGATGAGAAACATCCTACACGGCCGGGCCAATGAAACACCACGGTGGAAAAAAGTTCAAAGATGTGGGGAAGAAGAAAAGTGATGATGTTTTCCAGCCCGCTGAGGAACACATGGTTGTCTAGTCCAATTTATACCCAAAGAGTCCCTTTCTGACTTTTCATTTCCCTGATTCGATTATAACCTTCAGGAATCATTTACAGCAATATTTGGGTACGTTATCAGTTTTATTTCTCTCTGCATGCTGCTCCTCACTGGAAATGCGTGGTCCAAAATAAAGACATATTCGGGGTCAGGGCCCTTGATTGCAGCTGAGATTTATGAGGAACGAGGGTATTTGTTTGTTAAAAAATAGGCTCCGAGGGAGAAAGGATGTTCCAATTGGTTTGACATGACCGCGCAGATGCCCCAAAGAACAAGCCTGTTGAATAAGAGTAACATATTTTTAAATGTTAAAGCTCAGTAG